TTGGAGAATTTATTGTTTCAGGTTCCCTTGGATGAGCTAAGTCCAATACTGTGCTTTGCAGCTTATAATGAACCAGTGCGTCACCTCTGCTTCGCAGAGGCTCGCAGTGGTTCTACTATCCAGGCCCTACTCATTCTCGCATAATGATGGCATTGAAACTCACTAAGCAATGCCTGCTATCATGAACAAAATGTAAACAACTACTTATTCCGAAAGCTTTTTCATGTGAAATCGGTGATTTCGCGTGGACGAAATTTTTTTGCAGGAAAACAAAGCAAAGTTTTGTACGTTTTTGATTTTCCCCCAGTCTTGACAGTCGCTATAAGCTACATTTAGGTGCAAAAATCTCATCAAATGCTCTGGTAAAAGCTTGGCAAAATGACCATTTACGCAACCAATACTTTTTGGCGCCGTTTTTGTTAAGTAGTGGACTTTTGATCACTTTTTTGGGCCTAAGTTCACGGTTTGCACATATACTTGCCATAAACATCCACGAGCCTGCAAAAAGTGGAATTACGGACCCAATTTTGGGGACGAAAAGCCAGGTGGGTCCGATTGACGCGCATTTTTTGAGGGATCCGCTAAACGGATCCGCTCAAGCTTTGATATAGTGGACTCTCATGTTCGTAGCATGCGCTGTGCAAAATTTGGGTTTAAGATGTTGGCTGGCAACCGTTCCACGAATTTCGTGACAAACAGACAGACACACACACAAAAACACGTAAACATCCTTAGCCCGTTATTATAAGTTATGATAACCCACTTTTCCAGAGGTGAAAAATGCTGTTTGGGCGGGTCGCGAAAGTGACTGCTAAAGCCAATAATCCAATTGCCGCTGAGATGGGTACGGTGTCTCCCCTTACGAGGCAATCGCGCTTTAAAGAGGAGGCATAGCTGTCCGCCCAGATAGCACTTTTCGAGGAAAAGCGGGTTATAGATATAACCTGCAAAGCACAGCCTTGGACTCAGCTCATTCAGGGGAACTGAGTACGATAAATATCCCAAAGTTGTCTTCTGCGGAGCCGCTGTTTTTAACACATTGGTGGTGCCGCGCAATGGTGCTCATGTGTTCGAACTTACGTTCATATAATCACTTTAGGTTCGGAAGTGTTTCACCTTGCTCTTGTTGCTCCGCCTCTCTTGTGACAAACTTCGCCCACTCAGTTGTCATCTGCGAGAAACGTTTTTTATGCTTACAGCGCATATAAGAGGTCATAGGTGTGGCTGAGCAGCCTCAAGTACCTTAACCTCAGCCCCCCCCCTCCCGTCAGGCAGGCTTCGTCTCCTTGGGAGAAGCTCCGCCCAACTTTCGGGAATGCCGGAAGCTGCACGAATTCTTGAAATTTGAGCAATTTGCAACATTTTTTGTCAAGTGCGCGGAGCTGCCTCGTCCACTTGCATATTTATGACTCACGCATTCTTGAATGCATATATACATGCAGTTAGGCGTAAAAGCGCACGGAAACATCTCATCCATAGGGACAGACGTGAGAAAATTGGCTCGTCGTCAACGTATTAATGATCAGATAGTGTGCTCATTATTTCGAGAAAAATCCTGTATATGTTGTCGGCGGCTAGCAAAGGCATCGATCTACCAATCATTAGTGGCCGGAAAAGATGAGGCCGATCTGACCTCACCAGAACAAGGAGGTGAACCAGTGCTGCGAGCAAATAGACCTGCAGCCCTGGAGTAAGAGCTGGCTGAAAAAAACCAAACTTCTTTTTTACCGCGCTGAATACTTGAGACCAATGCGTGTAGCCCCTTCTAGATGGTCAAATTGGAGGCTTTTCCCCAACACCAAATTAAAGTCTGCGGTTTGTTGGCCCAAAGTAATGCTATCCTCTTTTAGGCTGGGTTCATACAGATTCCCATGTTCTGGAACTGTTCCCGCACTGTTCTCGCACTGTGCTGGAACTGTGCGGGAACAGTTCCAGAACTGTGCTGCATGCGCTGCAGCCGCCCCGCACCGTTTTGAACGGCGGGAGTCGGAAAATTTTGACCGTTCTCAAAGGTTTATCTTTCAGATTTCTCTCATTTTGGCCTTATTTCTCCATCCCGCTTCCCACTTTGATCAGCGTACCTTCGAACTCGAAGCGGTATTGAAGAATGAGCGCTTTTCTGCTCTGTGTATGCGACAAAACGTGTGTTCCTGTGCTCGTTCATTCTCTCTTTTGCTCAAAATTACTTCATTTGTTCCAGGAAGCTTCTGCGCAGTTTCTATAGCCACCTGCCACAAATTAGAAAGTAGAAGCAATTCTGAAGTTGCATGAATTGGGACTTGTCTCTCATTTTTGATGAGTTTCATTTCTGGGCGTTCTCAGTTCTTTTCCTTTTTTCATATCGCTGGTTCTCCATTCTTTCTTTAACCTTGCTTCTCCTTGTGATGAGAAAAGCTGTGGATTTGAAGCGGGGTTGAGGATTAAACGCTGTTCTCTTCGTGTATCCGGGAAGATGGACCTTCTTGCGCTCGTCCATCTTCTCTGCCACTTTTGTTCAAGCCTATTTCATGTGTTCCGGAGACCTGTCTATATCAATTTCAATACAGATGCGAAACTACGCGGCGCTTTCTTAGAATACATGAAGTAGGTCTGAACAAAAATAGCGAAGAGAGAATGGACGAGCGTACGAAGGTTCATCTTCCCGGATACATGAACAGAACAACGTTTATTCTTCAGCCCCGCTTCAAATCCACAGCTTTTCTCATCACAAGGAGAAGTGGGGTTAAAGAAAGAATGGAGAAGCAGCGATATGGAAAAAGGAAAAGGGCTGAGAACGCCCAAAAACGAAACTCATCAAAAATGAGAGACAAGTTCGAATTCATGCAATTTTAGAATTGCTCACACTCTCTAATTTGTGGCAGATGGCTATGGAAACTACGTAGCGGCTTCCTGGAACAAATGAAGTAATTTTGAGCAAAAATAGCGAAGAGAGAATGAACGAGCACAAGAACACACGTTTTGTCGCATACGCAGAGCAGAAAAGCGCTCATTTTTCAACCCCGCTTTGAATTCAAAGTTCTGCTGATCAAAGTGGTAAGCGGGATGGAGAATTAAGGCCAAAATGAGAGAAATCTGAAATAAAAACCTTGAGAACGGTCAAAATTTTTCGACTCCCGCCGTTCAAAACGGTACGGAGCGGCTGCAGCGCATGCAGCACAGTTCTGGAACTGTTCCCGCACAGTTCCAGCACAGTGCGAGTACTGTGCGGGAACAGTTCCAGGACAAGGGAATCAGTATGAACCCAGCCTTAGTGGGATAAACACTGCCTTATCTCTCTGTGTGCTTGCCTTTCACTCATATAGTTGAAACCAATCATTACGGGAGCGGCCAACATGTACGATAGCTTGTGCCAGCCATATGCGTTGTGGTCAAAATTTCTCAAATTCTATATGTGCTACGACGATAATCGAAAATTTGGTAAAAATGCTTTATGCTCGCTATGCCTTATCTTACTGTTCAACACCAAGTTCAATCCAATGAAGAACATTTCGTTTCAAAAAATAAGGTTCTATGCGCGGCATATTGACAACCGCAGGAGTACAGTTGCTTCTGAGCTATCGTTCATCTTGGCATACACCCATCATTGCCACTGGACGCTCCCCTCTTCTTATATATAAAGCTGAATGTCTGTTTGTCTGTATGTCTGTATGTCTGTCTGTATGTATGTATGTACGTATGTTCCGAATAGAAAATTCCATTTCTGAACCGATCGGGACCAAACTTGGCACACATACACTTCGGGCCCCGGCGGGTGTCATGGGCTACTTTTCGTATCGATCGATATCGATTTTATCGATTTTTTTGCAAAATTTGAGCTACAGGGCTGGGAGTTGGCACAGGGGGGTAATCGAGCATGCTGATCACCCCCCTGTGGGGGGTGATCAGCATGCTCAAACTTTGCAAAAAAGCTCAAACTTTGCAAAAAAATCGATAAAATCGATAAAAGTAATGCACGGTTTCGAAAACTAATATTGTATTCGTAATCGGCATGCTCGATTACACCCCTCTGCCAACTCCCAGCCCCGTAGCTCAAATTTTGCAAAAAATCGATAAAATCGACATCGATCGATAACGAAAAGTGGACTGTGACACCCGCCGGGGCCCGAAGGGTATGTGTGCCAAGTTTGGTCCGGATCGGTTAAGAAATGGAATTTTCTATTCGGAACATACGGCGGAGCCGGGTAAGCCAGCTAGTTCAAAATATTTCTTTTCAAAGGGTCAATCTAACCTTATCCTCTTCATGTCATATTTTGAATCTCTGCTGACCATAGCGTGTGAAACAAAAATGAGTGTGTAGCTGTTATTCGTTGCCTTATCAACTTTGCATCATGTCAATGTATGCATGTAATGACATGCAATTTTTACTATGCTGTAAAGCTCACGTGCTTCCCCGTTCTGACTTCAAAAATGACGGTCTAGTGCTGAAATGAGCTTGGAAGCTTTAGAAAGGAAGTGCCTAGTGGACTGAGTCCTAGGCGCCTGCAATGTCTTTGAGCTTGTGGACTTGACGAAACTGAACTTAAATTTACTCAATATAAACCAAAATTACAGAAAATGATACACGATGGGTAGAGGCCGTTAGGTCGCCGAAAGGGGAAGACTCGCGCGAGCATTTGCAAATTGCACCTCGTTTTAGCATCGTGTTAGTCTTTCCCGCTGGTGGAGCTTAGTGAAGATCGGTTGATCCTCTTCCCAAACACTACCACAAAAATATTTTTCAGTAATTGCAAGACGAAGAAACTGCTATGCAGTCTGAGTGTTATTTTTTTATGAAAACATACACATCATACTTCTAAGGTTTCTTTGGTAACAGCTAGCGAGGTTGCTAGGAAAGTTGCACTATCGGTAGTTTTAACTTCAAAACCGGAGTGCAAAGTTATGCAAAAAGTATCAAAACTCCTGTTATTTTTGTTAGTTTTTCTTAGATAGTTAATATTAGAAACTTAAGATTTTTTTATTATACGAGTTTAGAGCTTTGAAGCACTGATACTATCTTTCAGAAACGTGTACAGTCGATGAAACAAAGTACAAAATAAGCGAGACTAAGCCCTCGGCTGCTACAGTACATTTTTTTGAACAAGTGGAAGTCTCGTGTAAACAAACAGAACAAGTTATGATTGGTAATAAAACGATGGTCTGCGGACGAGGAAAATGGTTTTTCAGCCCGACATGTCAAGGTGCTGATAGAATTATTTTAGTCAATAAAATATCGTAGCAGAACTTTCAGAACTGTATTGTGCACCACTTAAGCTCGACGAACACCCTGAACTTGAGTGTGAACTCAAGAGACCGTTAAGCGGATATGTCGTTGGAAATGAGCTGTTCTGCAAGTGCAAAGATAAAGCTATAAAAGGGGATAGAAATATTACATGTGATAAAAGTTTGTTTCATAGCAAATGCTTCGGTTCCAAGCACCTTAACACTACTTTTGATCTGTTAGCTAATTTTAGTCGGAGATTTCGATGCGATGTGGTCGGAAGGACTACCTAATTGTACCGTTGCGGCTTTGCCTACATTGCCCATCCCAGCAATTACCTACGAAGGTGAGGGTGCAAAAAAAGATGAAGTAAACCAGCAAGTCATAATCGCATTAGTTTATCAAATGTTTTTCTAGAAGAAGTTATATCAGGACCGCTGAGTGAATGGAACTACTCCGCTGACGTGATTTCTTTTATTCTATCCAGGGTGTATCGTCGGCTTCCAGTCATGAAGAGGGATATTGGTATTTTGATGTTGAGTAGTTAACGCCGCTTTCAGAGCATGCAGTGAAAGAAATTGCTTGTTGAAAACCATGAACACTCTGCATCAAAACCAAGACCTGCACAATCTATTGCTGGGAGCCGACAATGCTGATTTGTCAAACTAATTTTTTTCAGTGGGGATTCAATACAACGTGGTTCGGCCTTGCGTGCGAATCGCTACACTCGTAAGTCTAGTACCAGGCCAGTAAAATATTGCAACAATTAAGCAGCATTAAGATACCTCGTTTCCCCACTTATACCTCTCAGAAGTGATTCGCTTACTCTCATCCTGCAAATACAACGAATCGCTGGAGTTTTACTGATTAGTTTAGTACCAAAACTCACTCATGGGACTGTCTAAAATCTGTGTTATAGCGGTGGATTCATTCTCATCGGAAGACGATCCTCTCCGGGAACATCGTAGCTTAACAAGTGTTTCAACTTCTGGATATGTCGAGATACCACTCAGTAAACTCAAAAGATACTTGCAAATATCTTTTGAGAAGTCTGGGACTGTACTAATGCAGGATATTATACTGCGCTACACAGAGTGCCCGACTGTGCGTAATCATATTTTTTGATTTCGGTTATGAATAAGGCAGGTGATTACTAGACACGATTGCGTCCTAATAGCAAGAGAGATACTGATCTGGTTTTGTAGAAAAAACTGCACATCAATCGGTCAGCTTAAAGCGCCGAGCCTTTGTTGTCTTGAGTGCGAATTAATATGAGAACCCCTCGACTTAGCACAGATTACCTTAGAGTTAGCACAGACTGCCTTAGAGCTACCAAAATTTTGATTTGAAACTCAGTTCCGCATCATTATGAAAATTGATCAAATTTCAAAAAGACCGTTGGGCATGACTTGTGATCTACAGTAACTGCATGAGAAGGTCAACAATGCTAAATAGATTTCTTCGACTTACATTTTTTTAAGTCTCCGTCTTCTTCAGAGCCTTTAATGACGACGAGGTTTGTAATTTATTCAGACAAATGCTCTGTCTTCACCACACTACAATCCAACAACCAATAGAGAAAGAAACAAACTAGCCACGTGAGACAAGTAAACGTTTACTTTATAGGCTTCCAGTCAAAAAGCAAGCAATTACCCAGACTGAAGTAGCGCTACTTACAGCACATTGATATAATCAGATCACTTCTTGCGCTTGACCCGACGCCAATCCAGTAGGTCAAAACCCTTAAAAAGTCTGGAACGGTTGCAGCTCGTTTGTAACGACACTCTTCCTTCCTGTTCTTATGCATTCCGCTAGAATTTCAAAATATGGTATCTTTCGAGCTATTGTTAGGAGAACGTACGACAAGATTGCTGTGACAGCCTATTCAATGTAACCTTCGTAAGCGCCTGGAAAGTTTGAGTTGCCTCTGCGTTTTATTGAGATTCCTTGGTTCAAATAAACGTCGGTCGCCCTTCCTCACTCTATTTTTCACCACACGATCGACATGTAATGAAATGAACTATATCTTAACTTTGTTCATAACGTGCGAGTCAAAGACAAGCTTTGACCTTTTGGCTGTGATTGTCTGCAAGAAAGGTATGTAAAAGAGGATTCTTACTTGTCTTATTGACTCGATGAACTTCTATATGGCATGCAGCGACAGCAACTGCTGTCAGGCTGACTCATTGAAAGCGCAATACACCTGGCTAAATCTAGGGTATTGTTCATTCTCGTATGTCGAAGTTTTGCATCTTTCGTTTGTTTCTGTTCTGACTCTATCAGCAACTGTATTGGTGTGGTAGAGGTGGAGCATTTGGAAGGACAGTTTATGGATATCTTTATCAGTACAGGCTTTGAAAGCGAAGACGCCGAAACGTAAGCCGAGTAAATCTATTCAACAATCTTGCCTTTACTACAACAATTTCTATAATTTAACACGCGCTTTATGCTAGGCAAGCGAATTGCTTGCTATGCATTCTGCAGAAAGTTTTGGATCTTTTGCTGAGATAAATTCGTTTTGCGATAAATTTGATGAAAGTTTGTTTGAATGAGGAATGCGGCAGTTGAGTCGATTGAAAAGTTAGTGAAACGAACTTCAAACATTTTTTCAACTTATGAAATTTGTAAAATAATTCGCCCAATTTACAGCTCCCCCTACTTTCTCTCATGTTTTACCTACATAATCAGAAGTCTGATTGCAGACTTTCCTTGATGGCGTCACTCTAGAAAAATCCTATGCATTCTCAAAACCTCGACAAGTGGAAGGTCATTGCAACACAAATCTTGGTTTGACTACAGTGAGAGCTGTGTGTGATTCGACCACAGGATGGTCATTACTAGACCCAAATCCTTGCTGTCAAAAATGTATTGACGCATTCTAGGACGGTAAAAGACATGATGACCTTTTACTTTATAGGCTCATCGCTGCTGAAGGGCCCTTCTCGTGAATGTGATTATACGGACTGTGCTAATGCACATGCGTGTTATGTTACAGATGAAGGAGTTAAATGTGATTGCAACACAGGTGCGAGCCTTTCCCCCTTGTCCTCCTTTACCAGTGCAATTTCTGATAAGGAAGTAAATAATAAATATGTTAGGCCTTCAAAAGTAGTGTTGCGTTTTTCATGAAAGGAGATTTTTTGGTAGCATTCGATGCAGAATTTACTTTTCAATCTATTGTTCATAAGTCGATTGTAGCACATTCAATAAGCCCTCGGAGAATTACCATCTCCGCAGAGGTGAAGCACATTGGCCATCATGAAAGGTATTAGGTAAACTTATGTGATGTTATTCACCTTCCAATCATTTCTTAGTCGAGAGACTTCTAAGTATTTATAAAATGAACCTTATCTGTTATGCAGCTCTCACATGCATTGAAGCAATGTGAATCATTCCTCATTGTGATTTTCTAACAGACCGAACATACCGATAGATTAGCAGCTTAGGCTGGATTTACTGATTTTCATGTTCCGGAACTGTTCCCGCACAGTTCCCGCACAGTTCCCGCACTGTGCTGGAACTGTTCCGGAACTGTGCTGCATGCGCTACAGCCGCCCCGCACGCGTTTTGAACGGCGGGAGTTGGAGAATTTTGGAAGTTTTCAAGGATTTTCTTCCAGGCTCCTCTCATTTTGGTTCCTCGCCTTTTCCTCTAGCCCGCTTCTCCTAGTGATGAGAAAAGCTGTGAACTTGATGCGGGGTTGAGGAGTGGACGTTGTTTTCTTTAATTATCCGGAACACGCACATGAAAGTGAACAGCGTTCTCTCTTTAGCTCCGCTACAAGTTCGCAGCTTTTTTCATCACTAGGAGAAGCGGGGTAGAAGAGAGGACGGAGAAGCAACGATATAAAAAAGGGGCTGAGATTGCCCAAAAATGAAATTCATCAGGTAACAAGAGCAAAGTTCCCATCTCCGCATTTTCAGAATGTGCGCATGTCCCAATTCGAGATAGATGCCTTCAAAAACTATGCAGCGGCTCCCTGAAACAAATGGAAAGGTTTGAGCAGAAAAAAAAACGAAGCGAAAATGGACAAGCGCAGGAACAGACATTTTGTCGGATACGCAAAGCAGAAAAGCGCTCATTCTTCAACCCAGCTTCGAGTTCAAAATTCTGCCTATAAAAAGGGAAGCGGGGTAGAGGAATAAGGCCAAAATGAGAGAAATCTGAAAGAAAAACTGTTAAAAACGGTCAAATTCTTTCACTCTTGCCGTTTGAAACGCGTGCGGGACGGCTGCAACGCATGCAGCGCAGTTCCGGAACATTTCCAGCACAGTGCGGGAACTGGGCAGGAACAGTTCTGAAACATGGGAATCAGTATGAACCCAGCCTTACTGTGAGTCATGATGGTAAATACCACCGAATTTTAGTAGGTCTATCTCAGAAGCAAACACGTCAAACACCAGTAAGTCATCTGAAACTCCCAAAAGAGGATTGTGTTTTAGCACTTATTAAACAAAGCAAACGAGCGTTCACTAATTTAGAAAATCGAATCTCGAATTTTGCAACTATAACCTGGGGCACGTTTGAAAATGATTATGACGACTCTGTCCCCCGAATGCTTTACAAATCAGAATCAAAAAATGCGCGTTAGTATAAGACAAAAAGCTGCATTGAAGACCCAAATGCTTGCCGTTGATATGTTACCTTGAGGTTTGAGTACATTCAGTATAGACTTGGTAGCATCAAGGAAATGAATTTAAAACTGTTTGAAATCTTAAGAAAAAAGCTATGGAAAGGAAAAATTGTTTTGTGTCTTGTATGTTTTGCTTGATCTACACATCGTTCGAACTTTTTTGAGAGTAAGCACAAAAATACACAAGACAGCAAAATTTGACCATGGCAAATATTACGGGTCGCAGATTTTGGTAATTCGCCAAAAGTTCATTAGCTGTGCTGCAATGATTCTATTAGGTCGTTCCGGAAGTAATGTCGCTTTCTTCAAACGTACGTTACATTTCGCGAAAGCAAGGCTCTTGGAGATCTTGGTAGCATTCGATGCAGCATTTCATTCTCATTCTAATAATTATATCAACCCTGCAAAAAATGCAATAACCTCTCAAAAAATTATCAAAATCTACGACCCATGTTTTTTGAGAAGGCCAAATATCACAATTTTTCTAAATTTTCATAACAGCTCTCGGAAGGAATTCAAGTAACAGATGGACAGAGCAAACCCTACAGGAAACAGCGCAACTTTTTTCTACTTTCCACAGCTCGTCATAATTTTTTTTATAGAATTTTTGATGGAACCACCGAATTTTTGCAGGCTCGTCTTTGACACAAATGCATCAAACACCGATAGGTTTCGAAATTTAAAACTAGCATACGTGAATTATGATTTGATACTGATACAGAGCAAATGAGCATTTACCGCTTTAGAACTTTCGAAAATTTCGGGTACAGTTTGAGACACCTTGAAAAACTTGAATTATGATGATTTCCCAGAAATTTTATGAATCGGAAACAAAAAGCGATTTGTAAAAAGAGGAGAAAAAGCTGCGTCGAATGACACCCGAGTTGCTTGCCCGTTGTTGTTCCGTGAGGTTTGAGTTGACCAAATACGGAATTTGGTAACATTGAAAAATTGATTTCAGAAGCTCTAAGAAGCAAGCTAAGGAAAAGAAAAAATTACTTTGCGTCCTATAGGGTTTGCGCTATCTACCTGTCGCTTCTACTTCTTTGGAGAATAGATACGAAAATTTACAAAAATAGCCGAACTTGACCACGGCAAAAAGTAAGAGTCGCAGATTTTGGTAATTTTTTGAGAGCTCATTGAATATTATGTAATGAAGTTACAACCATTAGAAAGAGAATGAAATGCTGCATAAAATGCTTCTAGAAACTCTTGAGAATCTTGATTCCATGTTTATTCGAAAAAAAGCGACAATACTTTCGGAGCGACCTATTATAATATAAGATTCAAAAAGAGGATGAAAGGATGCATCGAGTTCCATCGAGATTTCTTGAGAATTTTTGTACCACAAAGTGTAGCGTTCATTTGAAAAAGCGACATTATTTTTTGGAACGACCTTATATAATATGTTTTCAAGGTTTTGCACTCAAACCAGGAGAAGCGAAATGTGTGCCTAGCATTTGTTCATACACATTCTGTTCTAAAACAGGGCAAGGAAAGTGTGTCAATGGCACCTGTGAATGTGGAGAAAGTAAGGGCCAGTACTTTACATAATCCTACGCCCCCTACATCCTCCTGCAATTTTGTTCAGATTTCGACTCCACCTTTTGTGAGAGGCAAACCCAGCCTTCCACCGACTGTGAGGCTCCCGAACTCAGAGTACATCTTATAGCCGAAGGGAGCGATGCTGCAGAGTATGCATGCGTTTGCAATGAGGGAGGGATCTTTGGAAATTGCGGTATTCGGGATCCATGTGAAAATGCGACATGCAGCAAAAATGGAATATGTTCTGTTGACTCAAAAACAAGGCTTGGTTATATCTGCAATTGTACTGATGGCAAGTGTACGAATAAGTAGAAGTTATAAAAGTTTGAAAGTTTTGTTTGAGGCTGGATAGGGCAGGATTGTAATGTGTGGGACAAAAGAGCCAAAGCTGTAACAAAATTGAGTTATGCGATAGCCAAGAATGGGTAAGTAATATTTGCGATTTGCAATAACAAAAGTTGTCAAAGTATTTGCAGAGATAATAGTGGCAATGGCGAATATTTCTATGATTATGGTTGCGAAGGTAGGTGCCGATTTGCTTATTTTCCATTACCCTGCGCGAATTTTTCAGCACAGGTAAACATTGCGGTACACATCGCCATTCCTGCTCCAATTCTAGTACTTGCAAAAATTATGGTATATGTCGAGGAGAGACTGCAGATAGAGTGCTGTGTCAGTGCTTGGCTGGTTACAAAGGTACTTTATTTTCTAACCCCATAATTTTCGATTCCACCTCAAATTTCCTTATCTGTCTTGCAATGAACGATCATTAGGAGAATACTGTGATGATGTGATTGAGTATTGCCCTTTTGAACCGTGCTTCAACAATGGCACCTGTCAAGAAATGTTCGATAAAGGATACCGATGTCAATGTGAACAAGGTCAATCATACTTTCCATCTCCTCATACTTTCTATCCTTTGTATACAGGATATTCCGGAGCGAACTGCGAGTTTTACCTTTGCGAAGTATTCTGTGAGAACGGTGGGACATGTGAAATTACTATAAAGAATGAACCAAAATGCACCTGTCCCCCTAACATAGCAGGAGAAAGATGTCAATTCAAGGTGAATTTACTGCACATGGAAACACTGCTTAAGAAAGTTGTGTACTTCAGTGTTCCAATCTTTACTGTATGAATGGCGGAACGTGCAAAGCAACGGATGAAGGGCTGCACTGCGATTGCCCTGAAGGTTTTGGAGGACCTCATTGTGAAAACTATACGGTCATTATATCAACTTATTTTTCTTGGTAAAAAGAGATTGGAGAAAGCAGCTCAGGGAAGCGGCGAGACTGTTCTTTAAGCAATTTTCAAGCAAATGTATGTCTTCCTAAGTTTCCTGAGTACTGATTAGACGGTTGACAAGCCCTTACCCAAGCGGCAGCTTATACGACACATTTGTGTCAAAAAATCATGTCCTAAAGTATAAAGCGACACCCCAGCGAGGTAATACACAGTACTGGCAAGAGTATAAATCCAAACATTTCGGTATTAATTGATAACGGCATAATTTTTTAGTAACAGTCCACATGAAAAATCAGGTACGGCACTCAGGGTAATAATACTAAGAAAACGAAAAAATGACATTCCGCTTTTTTTGTTGAATTACATAACCTGAGAACTGCACAAGTATTATATTTCCAGAGTTCTTTACAGCATTCAAATATATTCAAAATTCCGTTCTTCAGACCTATTTTTTCACTAAAGCTTTGTATTAAGTACTTCCTCGATTATGTTTTTGAGCAATTTTGGCAGAACCTGGTGCCACCTTCTAAAAGGTTGTTAAGAAAAAAAATGTCGTTTATACTCTCTGAAGAGGCAACCAGTCTACTCTACTTAGAAAAGGATGAGGGGTACTTTGATAGGTCAAAGCAAGCCTAAGTAGCTGCAAAATTTGTAGAGCTGATTTAATGATCTGGCGCCATTTTTAATCTAAGGAAAGTTTGAACTCAAGATCTAAAGATTTCTAAATGCTCAACAAATCGAAAAATCAGATTTGTGTCCAAACCTAAGGACCTCCCACTCGCATTCATCAATACTTTCGACATCAGACATCCATACGTGCAGTTGCTGTATTTTTTCCTTGAATAGAGACTAAAACAACGGAAAATTTCGTTATATCCTTAAAGCAATGCTGACAAGGGAAGGATACCAACATTAGTCCGCGATTGAAGTTGAGATTTATATCAGTAGACGCGCCTTTGAACCCTGATTCCAAATCTGCTTTCCTTTTTTGCAGAATAAGTTTCCGAAAGAAGTTGTAAGCGTTCAAATGTCCAAATTTGTCAAGATTTAGGTGGCCTAAAATTGGCAGAAACCTGTACAAAAACACGGGAAAGTGAAAATTCATTTTTGTATCAAGTATATTGTTTGCAAGGAAGGAAGAAAGCCGGTGGAAATCGCATAGGTCTTGTTTTAGAGCTTTTCGCTAATTTTAAGCCACTCAATGCTCGGCAAATCTGGACATTCAAACGCTCAGAACTTCTTTCGGAAACTTATTCCGCAAAAAAAGAGCAGATTTGGAAACAGCGGTCAAAGGCACATCTAATAATGTAAATCTCATCTTCAATTGCCAACAATATATCCTTTTCTTGCAAGCAGTTTTTGCATATGTAATCCTACACTACAGCCTGTTCAAATATAACTGTAGATCAGCCCCCCTCCAGCGGGAGGTTTCGAGAAATATCAAGTTCACCATTTTTCCCTCATTCTCATTGCTAACATCGAATTTCTCGATATTTACCGCTCCGGGCTGGAAATCCTGCTATACTTACGTGGGCTTGTGGTATAGAATTACATGTGCAAGAGCTGCTCAGCATAGCTCTGAGAATATCACAAAAATTTTTGTTTTCTCATTTCCTAGTCAGGGAGTGAATACAGCAACTGCACATATGGATGTCCGATCGAAATTATTGACGCACGCGAGAGGTCCTTAGAAATTTTTTGAACGAAAATCCGTTTTTTTGGATTTTTGGGCATTTAGAGATCTCTAGACTTTGAGTTCAAACTTTCGTGGATCAGACATGGCGCCAAGTTATTAGCTGTCAAGAAAATAATGTCGTTTTTTATAGCAAAGCCATAAGACAAATTCAAAAAATATGTGAGAGGGGGGTACCACTCGATAGAGCAAAGAAAGCTCTAGAAGATGACATCCGGTCATTGGCAGAACTTGTTGTTTGCGCAAAGTTCAGAGCCGCAACATACGGCAACTGACGCCAGAAATTGAATTTTCGCTTTAGAAAGTGCATGTAAAAGACGCTGCACTTATCTATAGGTACACTTGCTATATTTTTTCCGTGCTTGGAAACCGGGAGAAAATGAAAAATGGCAGACTCCGCCCCAGTAGTACTGGGCCTTTCCCACATATGCCTTTGTATACTACAAAGCTTCGTAACTTTAACCATAAAATTTTGGCCTCGGATATGCTCTAGTTCTCAATATCAATTTCACCCAAAAAACCTAAAAAACGACATTATATACTTGACAACCCAATATAATGCGAGCTTGTAGAGCTTGTTTTGCGCCATCAAGCAGTCCCTTACCTTATTTTGGGTTGAGCCTGGTTGCTTTGCTGAAGCAAGCAAGAAGAAACAACATTAACCTCTTGACAATCTAATAAATGGAAATTAAAGCGATTTGAATAAAAACACAAATTTTTAGATTTCATTTCCAGTTTTATAACATGGGCCTTTATGTTTCTTGTAATTCTTTAACTCCTCTTAACTTAAAAATTAGCATGACATTACTCAGCAATATATGAGGCAATAGATGTTCTCGCAATGAATTTATTAACATGAACAAGATGTTGCCCAAAACCATGCTTTTGTCGGAGGTATGGTTTCTTACATGAGCACTTTTTCCATGCGGACGTTATCGTTACCTTATGAAACTCATATGAAGGGCTAATAAAACATCAACGACTATGCCAATTTTGTTTGTCTGCCATTTTCTAGCACTAAGGCTTCTCATGCACAGTCAATAACTTTCTGTACACGAATAATCAATCTCCAAGTTTCCTCTTCTTTGAAACTCGGCATTGTTACTATAGTGTGTCAGTTTGTAAGTAACCCTTCCGAGGTTTATAGGTCTTTATTAGTGGCGCCCTAACGTTTCGAACAAGTCGTCTTCCTCAGAGGCCTAAAGTGGTAGGAGATTTTGATTATGTGTCTAACCCACCAAAATCCTCCACCAGTCCCCGACCAGCCTCCATTTTGTTTCAAAAAAAAAACACAAGAAATAGTCCCAAACGTGAAAGACGGACTGACCTCTTCCACCGTCGGCGTACGGATGTTAGGGCGGCCGTCCTTCGATGCCACTAGTATCAATAATGGTATACACTGTATACCATATTTGGACTAATCATTAGTGGCCTTCAACTCGCATATCGTCACGAAAGGCATAAAGTCATTTGTAATTGACATACACTCATTTCGGCTGTTCATGCATGGATTTTTCGCATAAATCCAGAATGCGAGAGCTTTGCATAAGATCGTCAATCAGTTACTGGACCAAGTTCCTCCCATTTAACCAATACAATCATTTTCTGGAACGCTTGCGCAATAAGAATTTACCGTCTAATTGCGTGGCAGGAGCCCCTTGACGTGGTGTCTTTGTACACCAATTTTCAAAATGATGATGCTCTACAGGCAGTTTCAGAAATGCTCAACAACTTTGGTAAAAAATCTAGACTTTCAGATTGAGTAAAAGATCGGTAATGCTCCTGATTAGAGAATGTCTCTCTTGCAACGTCTTCAGATGGTCAGGAACATACTACACTCAAATGAGAGGTTTGGCAATGGGACAAAGACTTGCACCAGTACTCGCGATCTGCTTTATGAACAGAATAGAAGAACCAGTGCTGCTACATCTACCTCTTATGTACTGCCGTTACATAGACGACTGTTGTGTCATAACATCAACACAATCCGAAATGGATAAGTGTTTTCGATTGCTCAATCAACAGACACAGTACATAAAGTTTACGCGACAACAACCAAAAGATGGCTGGCTTCCTTACCTCAACGTACAGATCAGACTGTTTAACGGCGCCGCGAATATAAAATGATATCGTAAAAAAAGTCCAAAGAACATCTTGAGAAGTGCTTCAGCACATCCGACTGCTGCTAAAAGAGCCGTTATACGTAACATGCTCAAGACAACAGCGAACATGTGCACAGTAGAAGAAGAACGGAAGGAATCACACAGAGGGGCACTGGAAATTGCTAAATTGAATGGCAACACGCTTCAGAAAGGACGTGCTAAGCCAATCATTCCAACCGATAGCAAACAGCACCATCAAAAAGTTGCTCTTTGTCTTCCTTTCGTTCCCGATGCGACTATTGCCGCAGTGCGACGCTGCATCAAAAGCGCGAATTTGAAAAACGAAGTCATTTTATTTGACATCCCAAGTGACAACATCAGGAAGCGGCTAGTACGTAATAGACTCTATGACAACTACTGCAAGTCCAGGGCTGTGTAGTTTGTCCATCCGGTAAAGTTGGCGACTGCGGTAAGGCTGGTGTAATTTATGAGATCGAATGCATTGAGTGCAGTGCCACTTATATTGGAGAGACTGGGAGACCGTTGGGTATAAGGGTAAAAGAACATCTTGCCAGTGAGAAGAGGGAAGTCTTACTACTCCTCTTGGTACATATGGAGTTGAATGTCATGGTGGTAACGACTTTAAGATTGAGTGTACTATGCTGGCACGTACGACACTGCTGTAAGGAAGGCTCTCGAGGCATTCTAGATTTATGCGAGAAACCCATGCATGAACATCCAATGGGTGTATGTCAATCCAAATGACTTTATGCCTTTTGTGATGATATGCGAGTTGAAGGCCACTAGTGATTAGTCCAAATACGGTATACAGTGTATACCATTATTGATACTAGTGGCATCGAAGGACGGCCGCCCTAACATCCGTGCGCCGACGATGGAGGAAGTCAGTTCGTCTTTCACGTTTGGGACTTTTTCTGTGATATTCTGAAGCAAAATCAAGGCTGGTCGGGGACTGATGGAGGATTTTAGACACATAATCAAAATCTCCTACCACTTTAGGCTTCTGAAGAAGACGACTTATTCGAAACGTTAGGCCGCCACTAATAAAGACCTAGTAACGACATGCCATGGTTTTCATGCGATCGCCAAATGGTAGTTAAAGGGTTATTTTATCTTGAAATAGCTGGAGCGTTTCCAAAAATTGAATGGATAGAGTCATGACATTTCCAAGCAGGAGCTAACATTTCGTAATAGCATAAAGAAACATAAAGGTCTGATCTTTTCCTCAAAGGCAGTGTCCCGGCAGATTTGCATCTTGGGGGATATTGCTATGGTGGGGTTCCTGGTCATCCCACTGACCTAAGTGCGCAGTCCGCTGGTTGATGCTCCCCCTAAGCCGAGAAAATAGCCCTCGAACCGGCGCGCGCTCGGACGGCTTCGCTTACCGTTCGGCGCGGAATCCCACGACCTCTCGCATTTTGCATGCTATCCAAAACAAAATTACAGGCAGCAGGGTCTTCGTGCCAGGACATCCTAACTTTCCATTGAAATCCTCGTCCAGCTGCTTTTTAAAAATTGGGTAATCGCCCCGAAAAAGGTCTTTTCACTCGTTCTGAGGCTCAAATTTGGGGTTTACGGGTTGAAGAGGCTCAAAACATGCAAAAAGATGGAAATGCGAAATCTGCCGGGACACCGCCTTCAAACCTCACATTAGTTAATTTTTCCTCTAACTGAAGTTCTAGCTTAGTTGGCACGGCAGAGAAGAAGAATCTCCTTTTGCAAAGAATGGATAAAGGTACCGAAATCAAAGTACTCAGAACCCGGGCACCTTTAAGACACTGCAGCGTTTTGGAGGTGATGTAAAACTTGATACTGTTTTGTAAAAACCTTCATCCTTACTTACTCTATTGATGGATGTATGAAACTGTTCTCCACATGCTTATTAAAATGTTTCGGACCGCGAATCGCGCGCGGCGAAAAAGAGTGTTCTTTCAACCGTTAGCCAACAAAGGGCCCTTATTTTGAAGACTGTGTGTTACATCTGTAATGACCATGCCGGATAAGCTCCATATCCAACGTTCTGGGTGAATTCGAAGCGTTTGAATTTTGTCACTTGAGAAGGACTTCTGTGCTTTCCTGAAAGATAGGAACAAAAACTCAGTTTCTAATAGTATCCAAAAGTATCTATGTTGTGGACAGTACACATCAGTATTGAAACTACGGTTTTCCTCTTTGATATCGACGCAAAAGAAAGTTGCGACGTCGCACGCGTCGTTCGCGTTGCCGCACCTCGTTGCTATTGCTGTTAAATTTCCGCTCATATCTTCTAAACACATATAGGCGGCATAACTCTAAAGAGTCGTTTGAAAAGTAGAAGCATAGGCCTTTGACTTGATAACTTTAGACTAAAAGAAAACCTCTTTTAAACGTCAAGAAGATCCTTCAAAGCAGGGTGCTGCACCATGTGCAGCACCGGTCCGAAGCGTGTTAAAAGAATGAGTATGAGATGTTGTCTTGAGTGAGTTGGGTTATGTCACTTTTTTCCAACTTGTCGTTTTATAGAATCCATGCGAAGGTTTTGTTTGCGAAAACGGTGGAACATGTGTACATCAAGATAACAAGACTTTCTGCAGATGCCTGGAAGGATACGGCGGCGATAAATGTGAAAAAGAATTGGTAATGATGACTTTGAAAAATTATACTCATTGAACATGGAGTTTGCTAATTTCAGGAGAAATGTGAGGAGTTCGTTTCACCACTTATATGTAAATATGGCGGCACATGTAGTGTTGTTAACCATACGCAACATTGTGATTGCACGCATGGCTTTTTTGGAACAGATTGTCATGGGTTTGGAGTACGTAGAGCTCTGGCAGAATACTCCTTTCAAAAAAAAAAAACAACAAAATTTAGGAAACCTGTGATGCGATCAACTGTACCCATTCGGGTGAATGTGTTGACGACAACACCGAATTCGGGCATTGCAATTGTCCTCTTGAGTACAACGGGATATTGTGTGAGAGAAGTATGTGATAGTTCATTTGGGGACGTTACCACAACATTATATTTTTAGAAAAAACATATTCCTATAATCTTCTCTTCAATGGTCTACCCTCTACACAAAATATTACGTCACGCGAATTTCCTTGTGAATGGCTTAGGCAAGGTTTTTTTTATACGTTTTTATCCTCAATTTGGAAGGGTGCGGAAAAGTATTGGTTCCAAAATAAAGATCAAAAAATGGCGTGACTCTTCGTGACGTGACAGTTTTCTTGATAAATCCGATATTTCGGATATAAAAATGCATTTTAGCATTTTACAAAAGTGTATCAAAAATCCTGCAAATTCTCCCTGCGGCGAAGCCCTTTTTACAGCCTTTTCACACATTAATTCGTCCCTTTTGCAAGTTTGAAGTTGTCTTGCGTTGTAAACGACAATTTGACAAACCTTCTACCACATAAAAAAGGTAGGAGTGACTTCGCGATATTTTGAAAAACAAAAACTTATCATCTTTTTCAAGAAAAAATTCCTGCGGCACAACAGGATGCGACTCTTAAATCTGGCGCAAAGACTAGCGCGACTATGCAATCGCTATATTGATCCAAAACTGTGATGTAGCTAAAGCCCGATGCTCTTCTCACTATTGACGTTAATTCTTATTAACATCTGGGATTTTAAATGATAGTTTGGAGTGCACACAGTGCACTGAGCAAGAGCAGACCAAATTAGCCTTTTTCGTGAATTTGGTCCACCTGGGATGTGGTTCTCTTGATCAATTCGAGTTTCACATTGCTGATCTATGTAATAAGTATAGACTTTTAGAGAAGAGGTAATGCTCTGTACCACCTTAATTTGATATTGATATCATCCTTGATATTTACAGTCCGAAATCGCGCTCAAACGCTGTGTCGGCGCGTTGATGATCCTGGTCTCTGTTATCACTAATTTGAATGAAAAGAACAAGACCGTTTTAAATAGAACTCATCCTTAATCTCCAAGGTCTCGATTACATGCAGAAATCAAAAATTCTAAATGTCCTTTATCTCCGAGATCTTTCAATAGGCCAATAGAGGGACAGCACTTACCTTACACATGATGATTTTCTGAGTATAATTACTGACTTTTTCAAATTCCAGTGACTTCACACTGTGCGCATGGGTATTTTACGCTTCAGAGAGGATGGCGACAAATGAACCTTTGCCTCCATATTTGCAAATAAGTACCACAAAGATTTCAAACGGGTACGTCTTTAGAACAAAATGCCGCTGAGTCAGTAGCACACTATCAGGGAGTCCATATTATTGACACTCGACGACAGTGGAGTTCGGTTTGGTAATGCTGAAATTGTGGCTACGATGTCGGGGATGTCTTGGCATCAGGTGAGCTGAGGAACGCCAGTAAGTTCCGTTTTTAGGAGTCATGCTCAGAGCTGACACGCGATAACCACTTTTTTTCGGTGCATTTTATAGAATGTTTTTTTCTCCTTGACAGGGGTGTGTGCCAAGATGAACGATAGCTGGAAATAAGCATACTGTAATCCTGCGGCTGTCAATACACCGTGCATAAAGTCTTATTTTTTAAGCGATATGCTCTTTATTGGATTGAAAATGGTGTCGAAAAGTAAAGATTAAGGCCCGTTATGCTCCCAGCGTTTTTCCAAATTTCTAAATGCCATCATAACGTAAATATAGAATCTGAAGAATATTTGACCTACGCAACGCATATGGCTGGCACAACCTATCGTTCATGTTGGCTGCCCCCCCCCCTTGACAGCCTTTTGTAGACGGCATAATATGATCAAAAAGTAAACGAGCCAGGGGAATCTTGCAAAACGAAGAAAAAAACGAAGAATGGCGCGTCGAGCACGGCTGAAATCTTCTCGGACAGCTGAACGCGCCGAAATTTGCATAGAAGTTTGCCGTTGACATGCACATCCATACCCTCGCTACATAGAGCCATGTACTCTGGTAACCTTCACTTTGAGGGCTATGAGGGGACACAACCTTCACCTGAAAAAAAAAAACAGAAGCCATCCGGGGCTTCGCCTTGGATGTTATTATCCTGACTATATCGGAACGTTTGTTAATGAAGCAAATATAGGGGATAATATCTCTAGCTTACTTCAGCGAAACCGAAAATTTGCGTTTTTATAGCCTTTTATACGTTAAAAAGAAGGTTTCTGTGGAATTTTCGTCTGAATTCAGGACGAAATTTCTCAGCTAACCTCTTATTTGACCAAAATAGAGTTTCAAAAGTTTAGGAAAGCTATTGGAGTTGAACAAAAACGAGAAACTGCGCTTAATTCTTGCGCAGAGATTCGCGCCTTATTACGCTGGTCTATCTCGTTAATAAGTAATTTTCAAAGCTTGGGACGTTGTCAGTTCTCCTCTTCGTGTCATGACGATCAGAATGATATATAATGTTGCAGGGTTTCGTTGAGACCCCGCTGAGATCTACGACCAGAGCCAAATGCCCCGTCGGCTCTGGTCTGTCTCCTCTGCTCGTCTGCGTCTCCGCGTGCTGCGCGCTACCTCGCTACCCCAAACGTGGGGAGCGGGGCATTTGGCTCTGGTACCCTTTTCTTCGCTGTTTCGAACCCAAACTTTGCAAGCTATATGTCATTTTGAAGCTCTTGATCTCTATATTTACGCTGACAACGTCCCAGAACCACATTTTTTGATTTGATCGGGAAATCCAGTAAAAACCTTGTTTTCGAAATTTTCTTGTTTTTCTCCTAGTTTAACTCTTTTTACGCGGTTTTTTCGTGCATTCTATAGATTTTGCTTCTGTTCATAATGCTGACAACCACCCAGCCCTTACCTCTTCGATTATGGTGGAATTTTTTGCGAAAAGCGTAAAAAATGCGTTTTTCTTTACCTTGTTCTGTTTCAATGCTTTCGCATCGATTTTTTTCCAGCTTGGGCGATTGTTGCTCAGAACAATAAGCGCAACAATCCAGACAACGTCCCAGAAACAGGAACATCAATGCGAGGGGTAAATATTCAAAGGACGCATCAAAAATCAAAACCCCGCGTTGCGAGTTGCTGGTCCTGGAGCGAAAACTTGCACTCTAGAAGGCCGCCAAATGAAAAATTTCAAAACTTATTGCAGCGTTTTTATCCGGTTTACAGCGGTTTTTTTTGCCTTTTATATCTGTTTCACGTCATTTTCTATTCTCTGATCTTCTTCAAACAACCTTCACTATTTATGACGTCAGATGTTCAAACAACCTTCACTTTTGGCGCCCTGTCTCTAGACTATCGAAGGTATGTGCACATCCAAAAGAGAAGGTAGCTCTGAAATGAACGCATAACACACTAGTTGCCTTCGCAATAGAAAAAATACAAATACAGTACATCCCTACGAATACGTAGAAAGTTTGGTATTTGATCTTTGACTTTGAGCTACGAACTGTTGCCTTAGTCACACAAAGAGAAACAGTGGCAACTGTACCTAAGATGGGATGTTTACTAGTATACATTGACTTCAAGGCGCCGCCACCCAAACTTTTGTTCCAAAGTTTTTGCCTTCTCACCTCTTCGGCGTTCAATGAAAAGAAAAGAAAACATTCCAAATTTAGGCCTAAAACAGAAGGAAATTCTCAAAATGTCATGTTTTGTATGCCCTTCAGAACCCACCATCGATGAGAATACCTTGCATCCGCCGGTCAGCCGCGAGCCAGCTGCAGGCCAGCCGCAGGGCAGATATGCAGGGAAAGTACGCGTCTTGAGCGCTCTCTTATGAATTGACAGATTTTTGACTTTCCCGTCAGCTGGAAATCATTGAGTGGGAGAGATTAACGTTCCCCGCTTACCAGCGTAGCTAAAGCCGCATTCGAAGCGATTCTTGCTTTGGAAGCAATCTCAGGCAGCGTGAGTTGGGCATTTATACAGTTGAGACCCAGAGCCCCGCTGTTGTTGGACATCAAAATCTCATCGACCCAATTTTGGTTGGACGGTGCCTTTAAATACGAGTTATGTATCTGTTGCATCTGTTGAATTGTTTACTTGTTTATTTTCTAAATTATTTGGTACTCTATTCATTTAGTTGGTGCTAATGTATAGTCCGTTTTTGAGAGTTTCAAATTTGAATGATTACTAGCATTCGAAGATGCACAGGGCTGAGCTGGGTCAAATAACTTCGACCAAAAGATTCGCCTACTTCAAAGCAAAATATGACAATGCGACAAGATTCGGAAGCTCTATAGCTCCGACCTTCTGCGAAAATCGGCTGCAGTTACTTTTTACGAACCCTGAGCGGTATAGTCGAGTGAATTTCCTGCTTAATATAGTGTGACTGCACAGAAGGTTAAATGCGGTGAAATTTGCGCGTGAAGAACCAGCTTCGACCGTGACGCCGGCCAATTGCGCGCGCAAGATGCCCGCAGTACTGGCGTGGCTAAATAGTTGTTCACGCGCAAATTTCACCGCATTCCACCTTCTGTGCAAGCACACTATATTAAGCGAGAAATCTACTCGACTGTATTGTTTCTGTGAGATTAATATCTTGTACCGTAAACAATAAGAAACGGGGATCCGTAGACTTTTAATAATCCCAGATACCTGATACGCGAGGTTGATAATAATGGAAATAATCGCATAAACGCTCACCTCGGCTGAGGCTACAGGATGCCGTAGTTTTGGCGCGCTCTCCTAATTGGTGCTTTCAAGTCGCGACAATCGTTTCTTTATTCTTTAGAATTTCCAACAGTTCCCATCTCAAAAAGCTCAGGTATCCAGATTTGTATAGAAATGTCTTGAATTTGCAGGCACAGGAAAGTTGTAAACAATCAAACAGCGGGCACATTTTTTGCACCATGATTTGTGCAATGACCTCAGCAAACCAATGTAATTTTGTTGAGGCTACCAGTTTTTCTATTATAGGTTTGTGTGCGCTGCACAAATGCTAATAGCGGTCAAAATTTATGGACCGTATTTCTCGACGGAGCATTCGCAACGAATGCTACTAATCTAAAACTGAATGCAAACACAGGGAGCTGTCAGTTGCAACTAAGCCCAGATGGTAACAAGCGTTTTCAGGGAGAGATTAGCTTAGTTCAGGTAATTTTCTCAGTGAACTCACAATCTTTGCAAGATAATTGTTCAGCTGTACACAACTTCCTTGGATGACGTAGATGTGGCAAAAATGGCTTTCGAATGTAAAAGCTTCATGTCACTACCACACATGTATATGCGTCTGGGATGGACAGAGTTTACTACGATAGAAATTGATAATCCCGGTGTTGTGGTGAACTATCCTGGAATATGCGAGACTTCCAATTGTCTGCCTGGAAGACCCTATTGTGACGCAAAAAGTTCCTGCTATGTTTTTATGCGACTTTTGGAAACAATTATAATATTCAGAAGACAAAATCCCACCGACTGTGAGATTATGTCCCTCAGACATACACAGAACATCATCATCGCGATTAACGCGTGTCGAATGGAACACCACTGATATGTTTGCAGATAACGTGGGAATAACTTCAGTTACAAGCAATTACTATTCAGGACAATTTTTCACTTGGTAGTTATGAGATCTGCTTTATTGTCATGTTATTACTCTAACTTTGAAGGGGTTATTATCGTGTTATGTACACCGCAAGTGATGCAGCCGGCAACACTGCTATCTGTTCATTCACGGTGATTATAGCTCCGTCTGATTGCCATGAACCTGAAGATGACGAACAAGTCAGCCAACAATCAAAGTCTTATTTTCGCTTAAAGACATTATAATTACAGCTCCAAGGCACAGCACATATTGTTGGTGTGAATGATACGGATGCCATGCTGAAGGCACAAATCAAATGTAACGATACATACTATCCTAGAGATGATCCAGAATTTCACGTCTGCGATACATTAGTGAGTCTTCTGCAGTATAACCTATAAAATGTGTGGGCGAGTGCTTTCATTGTGAGAATAACATACTCTTCAATGTAACGATTACCAAAATCAAGTCGTATCGTGTGATGGTTACGTTATAGCAAACATTTTGAGCGATTCGCATTTTTTTGGAAACTATTTTCACTGCAAATTTTTCTTTCCCTTTACTCTAAGTCATACATTTTCTCCCTATAATTGCTGCCGATCGGTTACACAACCAGCAATATAATTTTTATCCTACTATAGACGGGCTTTTTCATTTACTATGTTCGTCTGTCATAAAAGCCAGTGAGAATTGATTTGCATTACCAGAAAGTATTGGAATATTTCGGTGAGTTTGCTTATTTTTACAAAGAATTCATTCACTCTAACCAATTTTTGTGAATAAAGACGCACTCAGAAGTTGTGTGATAACCAGTGCAAGCCTCTGCGAAGCAGAGGTGAGCATTGGCGAAGCTGAGATGAGCAATGAAGAGAAATGGAGCAGTTATGCTTGAAGCTGGCTAATCAGACATTTGTCATCAAAGATAAAGCAAGCGCTATACCTCTCTAGGATTACAGCAGTACCCTTTCGATCGATATGCATCAGATACATGTGAAAAATTACGATTTTTGTCGTTGATGTGCCCGCGTCAATATTGGCGAAGGCGATCGTCGCTAATACTAGTGACTACAGTTGGCTTGTCCTCTTTTGCTGAAACCTCGGCATCGTGAAGTATGTGATACTGTTTTCTTATGCCATACGAGGTTTGGTGATCTTTATTGCGGCCTTACGTTTCGACTTATCGTGTTCAAAGGCGCTTGCTTCGCTTCACCGTTGGAGCATTGAGGTATTGTGCAACCACGTCCTTTGGTGTCAGTAGTGCCAATCATTGGCACTACTGACACCAAAGACTAAGCGTTTAACTACAGGGTGTCCCAAAAGTAAGTACACACTTTTCAATCGTTAATATCTCTCTTCCCATTCCGTTTTTTTCCGCGTTTCAAGTACCATTCTGTAGAGGAGGCTTCAACTTAGATTCACTGTATCGAGCGAATCACCGATCGGTCTTTGTTACTGTAGGATTACGGTAAGAACTTCCAGCATGTGGAACCATTGTGAAATATGCCACATGACAAAATTTTTTTATGAAAAATCTAAAAAATCGTGTACTAGGGTTTTCGCGCATGCTGATTCCACTACACAACTTTTTACGAGTGTTTTCAGCTTTTTTGACGGTGTAATCACATTTCTGAGTAATGCTGGGGATTTGTTTATTACGGTTCACCTGGGATAACTTTAGAAAGGAGCATCGCAGTAAAATGGGAATTTTAAATTCGAAATCAGCGGCTTCCACAACCATAGCACAAGGGTATTCGGCTCGTTTGGTTTTGGTCCAAGGCAGAGTATGGCTTCCAATGGCCTAAAACCTTGTCGAAGTTCTTACAGTAATCCTACAGTAATGAAGAGAGATCGGTGATTCGCTCGATACAGCGAATCTAAGTTGAAGCCTCCTCTACAGAATGGTACTTAAAACGCGAAAAAAGACGCAATGGAAAGAGAGATATTAACGATTGAAAAGTGTGTACTTACTTTTGGGACACCCTGTATTAGTGCCTATCCCATCGAATCAAAAGGGAAAAATTCAAAACAATACTGAAAATGAGCAGTCCTTCTTTCGCAAGTGCCAAGTAGCGCGTATGTGCAATGCGTATATTGATGGCAATGTCTCCGCAAATTTGAGTTGTATTGATTTTTTAAGAGTTATCTTAAAAACTGGCTTATCATTGTCCAAGTTCCATCAACACTCAAAGTGGTGCACGGAGGACGATTCTGCATTCTGCGGAAGACTTATCAATTTCCCTTTCGCGTCTCAACGCGTCTTATCAAACGTCCTCTTCCTTTTTGACGTGTACGAATCTGCGGCCAAAGCTAATTTGGAGAGGTACAGCCCGTTCACGTTGCTTACACGGGGTGTTTAAAAACCGAAGTTTTGGAATTTTTATGCGGATCTAAAGTTTAGAGTTTTATGGGATCGACTTGTTCGCAAAAAGTATGTAAAATATGTATATAAAATGGTGGACCTATATATACCAAAAATATATGTATGTAAAATGGTGGACCGATGGACTGCTGGATGGATGGATCGATAAATGGGCCGTTGGATAGGCTGCTATCACTTGATGGTTGATTACTTCGAGTACTTCATCTACTCTATTGTCGAGAGCAAAAATGCCACTCATGCAGATCAATGTACATGTGTTTGGAGCTCTCTACAATGTGTAAGATGCATACACACGTGCACTACCGTTAGAGTGTACACAAAAGCTTAATGGTATGACTAAAGCTTAGAGTCCCCTCAATGCTATACACTTTTTTTATACCTCACTCTCCCTCACTCTCCTTTTCCAATTATTAGTTTCTTTTTTAGTATGGCACATTACTATTGTGTAATGTAATTATATAATTAAATAAATAAATAAATAAATAAAAATCCCGAAAATTAAACTCTGGCGAGGCACCGCCTGTGAGTCAGAACTGACCGACGATATGTATTGTTAGACCTGATACACTTTTGAAAGCTGAAAGTAAAACACCATATCGGTTAAAGAAATAAAGCCGGCACAGTCAATTGTGTTAGAAGCGAAATGCATAGTGTATGCGGAATTGTCTAGAATTATTTTTGATTCGTACTTAGACATTTTTGCTTGAAAGAATTCTTGGTTGGAATTTTTCCTCAAAAGCGATTTTCTTCATAGTTCATAGACTGTTTTCATCATATTTAGGGACAGTGGGATCGCACAGTTTTTTGGCCAGCAAATCGCACATATATGTTCCCTGGCTGTGGTACCACTGTTGATCCAATACAAAACATAAGCGGAATATTGCAGGCTTACGGAAATTGTTCATGGGTAAGTTTCGAAAGCTAATCAAATGTTGGTATTTTAAAAAAGTTTAGATTCGACAAACTTTGCTCAAATCTTTACTAGACGAATTGACGCAGTACTGTGGAAACTGTGCTGAAGAAGTAATATTCTGTGCTACATGTTTGAGTGTTGAAATACGTTCACCAGCATTAAAAGTGTTTAGATTCAAATCGATAAGTCTTGCCAGGGCGAGAAACCGATAATTCTTGCCATGTCTAAAACCTGGTATAGCAATACGCGGAACGAGCCCACAACAAGCTTGAAATTTTCCGTAAAAATCGAGTAAGAGAGTCTGTCCCCGTCTTATAACTTGATGACAAAATGCTTCATCAGTTTTTCAGCAACACTAGAAATCTACTCAAGAATAATATAACCGCCAGCCTTCAAGCGACATTTCCCAATTCCACTCAATCTATCGAAGAAAAAATCACGTGCCATCCAGATTATCCGCGTTTGATTAACGACAGCGAAATTGCGAGCTGCGGTAGGTCAGAGTGTTTTTTGTGAAGACTTCAGCAATTTGCTTGTTTCAGCTAACTGTCCTGCTGGATATTACTGGAACAAAGAGCAATGTATTGGATGTCCTGAAAACGAATATAGAACAAAAGATGATCCTTTGAAAAGCTGTATTTCTTGTCCGAAAGACAAAACGACTAGCGGACTTACGCATCAAAGACATAAAAGTTCCTGTCATGGTAATGAAAATCAGTGTTATTCTTGAAGTTTTCTGAAATTTTTCAGTCACTTCATTCAGATATTTGCAATGCTGGCGAATATTATAACGAATCAATGCGGAAATGCACACCATGTCCAAAGGGTTACTATCAAGAAAATTCTGGAAGTAGCACGTGTGTCGCATGCCCTTCGGGTAACACAACTGCTGAAACGGTAAACATACCAAGGAGGTCATCCTAAAAGTAGTTTCCCCTTTTTTTTCTAAATAAGAGCCACATTCCGAATCAAAGATTCATGGAAAATAATGAAAGCATTCGATGCAGTTTTCTATGCTCGTTCGAATGATTCCAATTTCATAACAATTTAACCAAAAAGTCCTCAGAAAATTGACAAAAACTCTGGTTCATGTTTTTTAACATAGTCAGGTCTCGCTTCTTCTGAAATTTCAGGTATTCCCGAAAAAGTCCAAGTAACAAATAATTAGAGCAAACAATACAAGATACAAAACAATTTTTTGCCTTTGCTTATTTTTTTGAGTGCTCTATTGTTAAACTGTCATAAATCTAACTCGAAAGTGGCACTTGTTTGAAAAAGCGAAATTACTTTTGGAGACCTGATATATTTACTGTGATTACCTTATGCTTGCTTTTTCAGGGAAAAACGAAGAAAACAGATTGTTCAGTTAGATGTCAAGCTGGTGAAGTGTTGACTGATAGGGAGGATTGCAAAGCATGCGAAAGAGGAACATATCTGGTAAAGAGCAATACATCTACAAAGTTGAAAGGGGAAGGGGGAGGAGGGGGGGGGGGAGTTAAGGGCCGGGCATACTTCACGCGATTTCAGTCTCGACGCGACTTGGCAATATTCCAACTGTCCATAACACTTACTGTAAGCATATTTTAAATGTACAGAAGATAAGGAATTTTATCGATCCACATAATTTATACACACTATGCATGTGCAATTTGCTAGTATTGGATATGAAGACTTCTGGCGAACTGCCAAATCGCGTCGCGACTGAAATCGCTTGAAGTATGCCTGGCCCTTTAAGGAGAAATGGGGAAGTGCGACGGAAAAATGAGCGTTGAAATAAGATTGTTTTTTTTTAGAATGAAGCGGGTACGCAATGTATCGATTGTCCTTTGGGTCTGACTACATTATCTGTTGCATCAAAAGACATAAGGTAGAACCTCATTCTAGTGATGATTCAATTCTGCATTGAGCATTCCAGCGATTGCAATGTGGTGAACTGCCCACCACGCACACATGTAAACCTCAGTTGGAGAAATCAAACTGACGCTGCCCATACTTCCTTTACAGAGTTTTGCACCCATTGCGAAGCAAATACGTATCAGGTGCGTCACTGCAAGAGTGTCCCAAAAAATCTCTAGCAGTTCCGTCATTGATAATTCTTATTTTTCAATCTTTCACAACGTCAAGAGGCTGTGGGCTAGATGAAGTCGACTGCACGAAATCGCCCGGATCGCTGTAGGCTGAACGCACGCGAGCGTACCCCGCAACGCGGCTGCCGAGTACGCCATGATGACTCATGCGCGCGAATGCCAATGTTAATCCGCAAGAGATACGCGCGCGGGCGTTCATTTCGGGCGATTTCGTGCAGTCAACTATATCTCTACGAAGATTGCACTTTTTTTACTGTAACATTGTGAAAACTTTAGGCCGTATTAAAAAATCATGGTTTAGTTGATATTGCTGAATTATCCAAAAATCTTACATCGGAAGCCGTTTTAGTCGAAGTGGCCTTTCCAAATGAGTTTCACATCGCTTCGAAGAGCGTTGAACGCCGAATCCGAACCTGTTTTCTTTTCTGCGGAACTCTTTGGAAGAAGTTATGGGCGTTTGAACGTTCAATTGTCGAGCTTCGAGCGCCATAAAATTGGCGAAAACATGTAAAAATACTTGCAGGTTTTGCACTGGCTGTATTCCTTCCTTGTAGTCAGCAAACTCGATACAGAAATGACTAGCCACCTTTGAGTTTTTTTCAGGTCTTTGCTATTGTATGTCACTTAAAGGGGTGCGGGATGTTTCTTACCCGTGCCATATTCTCGCACCTAAGTGATGTGCCTGCCAGGCACATCCGGGCTCGCTATAATTACGAGCTCCTCAGGATACTAACAATAAGGCCCGTATGCACTAACATTTCTGCGGCGAGGGGAGCGGCGTCCCCCGTTATGAAGGGACCGCGTGCGGACGCCGCTGCGGCTTTTTCATCATTGGGGACGCCGCTCCCCTCGCCGCAGGGATGTTAGTGCATGCGGCCCTAAGACATCGCAAGCCCCGCCCCTCACACAGTGTTGCAGCAGATGATGAAACCGGAATTTCGAAAAAACTTTCGAAATTGAAGTTCAGAAGCGAATTTGCTCCAATCAAGACTAAATTGCGGATGAGGGGGTTCGAGGTTGCCCTTTTTATCAATGATATTTGTTTATTGCAAAGTTAACGTTCAACAACGCTAATGCTTTACCAAGATCAGAACTCGGATTTAGATGTTTCCGAAATTTTCTTTTCAAAATCAAAGCCAAAGTTTAGATTTACAGGTTCCCAAAATTGCTTTCTCCATAACGATATATGTTTTGCGCTATCAATAACGTGGCCCAGCCAAGTATTTCTTGAAACTTAATGTATCACAGGTCAGTGAGGTCATCGAGGCTGGCTGAATGAGCTTCATAGCAGACTTAGAAAGCTCGGAGCGGTGTCAAACAATAGAGGAAAGCATCTTTATTATTCTGAAAACAATGAAACGCAAATTTGGTCTGGTTTGCAGGAAGTTTTTAAAATTTTAAGCGCTCAATAAATCACATGGAAAAGCCACGAAAAATTTCGCTTAACAAGCGAATGGAAGAAGATAACATCATCACGAAAAAAATGGTTCATCGCAAAATTATTGTGTGTCACTTTCAGAAATTCAATTCAAAATGCTTTGACAAAATTGTATTGCCACATCAACTCCCAAAGCAAAACTCTGAGTGGACTGTAAAAAAATATCCATGGCATAGACTTGCATAAAATTTAGTCCTGATTTTTGATTTAGGGAATTCCGAGATTTCCTTTTTTCAAACAAGACCAAAATTCAGGTTTACCACTTCTCGAATAAATGGTTACACCTGTGTTGGCTTTTCCCAGGTTTAGCTTAACACATTGACGACCATGCAGATTTTTAGTTGTCTGCCTTCTGGGACCAAGGAATTTTACGGACCAGCCAGCATTTCTCAACTATAATTACGCATACTGCCATGTACAGTACACCTACAGTAGATCTGAAAGGCTGAAAATAATGGGAAAGGTCATCCCTAGACTCAGTGCAGAAGGAAGCTCGTGGAGTGTGTTTATCAAATTATAGTAGTTGCTTTAACAAAATTCAAGCCTTGACACACATGGTGTGTCAAGCGGTCCCACGCGGTACTCATTGCTTGACACACCATGTGTGTCAAGCGGTCGTCGAAGTGTTAAGAATATGATTCGTAAAGATTTTCTTCACGCAAAAAAGCCACAGACGTGCAGAAAATGTTATGTGCTCATTTGACGGCGGCCCAGGAGTTCCCAAAGCCTCGCCGCCTTTCCTTGCAGGAGTAGTTAGCACCTCCAAGGGGCTTTTGCACCTTTTAGATGGCTCCGCCCACTTGCTTCGCCCGTTAGCTAATCTTATTCCGAGTTGTGCAGGCTCGGAGAATAGTCCCAATGTGTTCTGTTGAATGGATGAATAATGACGGATGAAAGGTGAACAGATGAGAAGTTGTGAAGTCTACTTATGAGCATCACTTTGTCGGAGGCAAAAATACTTCCGTTTTCTCAATTTTCAGCCAAAGAATGTGTACAGGTACCTCTGATGTGAAAAAATATCCAAAGATTTAGATCAAATTTGATGCAACTTTTCAAAACACTACCTTGTAAAGCTTGCTGTGCTCAATCGAATCAAAACCACAGAATCTATTCAGAATAAACGAAATTTGAATTATTGCAGTTTAGAACAGTCTTGAAGCTAGATCTTGCTATCTAGCTATCTCTCACAGCAATGCTCCGTAAATTTGGCAAGCTTTGATCTATGGTAATGCAGAAACAAAAACTGTGGAAAATCCTTTGTAGTGAAAAGCAACTTATCAACGCATTTTCTTCACAAAACACAGTTTCGAACCAAAATTATACTCACTGCTTACCTAGAGTACTGTAAGGTTTTTTGGGGTTTCAAAGGTCTTCGCTTATAAAGTGCAATAATTAGGAGATCTGCTTCGCAGAAAACGATTTTTCATGATTTTTCGTTGCATACCTATGTTATTCCCTCAGCCCGCAGCCTTCGAATGAGACAGTGAAGGAGTGGAGCGGGGGCGGGGTTTGACCTCTGTTGCGCGAAGGTGCGAGGAGCCTTCTGGAGTGTGAGCTGGTGCGAATGGAGGTGCTAGGAACTCCTGCGCCCCTTCCTGCTCATTTCAGCCATATCCAACACGTGACTCGCAGATATGGCTGTCACTGAAGGAAACCGATGCGATTTTGGAAATTTGAAACAAACTGGACCCTTGGAAATTCAAAATTTTTATTCATAGTTGAATTCAACTTATTTTAGATACTAATTTTCACACGCGTGCCAGTTCAAAGTTTGCTTCAATCTGATTTGATTACCATATTCTGGTATTCAGGACTAAATTTCGTACAAATCCGACTTCTGATCTTGGTAAAGCATTAGCGGTGTTGAACGTGGACTTTGCAAAAAAAAACAAATGCCGCTGGTAAAAAGAGCAACCTCGAAAACCCCTGAAATTTGGTCTTGATTGGAGCAAATTCCTTCTAAACTTCGATTTCGAAAGTTTTTCCGAAATTCCGGTTTCATCATGTGGTGTAACACTGGATAAGGGGCGAGGCTTGCGATGGCTTAGTCTCCTGAGGGGCCCGCAATTATGGCGAGCCCGGATGTGCCTGGCAGGCACATCACTTAGGTGCGAAAATATGGCTCGGGGTGAGAAACTTCAGCCCCCCCCCCCAACTTAAAGCATTACAAATTTGTATTTTCATACGCTCATAACTTCTTCCAAGGAGTTGTTCCGCAGAAAAGGTAAACTGTTTCGAAATTAGAACTCAATGCTCTTTGAAGCGGTGAAAAACTCATTTGAAAACGCCACTTCGACTGTAGAGGCTTCCCTTGTTAAAATATTTGCTGAGGAGTTTGTTTGCAACTGTACACTTTGCTGCTCGAGTATGTGACGCAACCATGTTCAAAGATTAGAAGTTATCTTTTTTTGTTGTTTAAATGAAAGTAGATACTGTATAGTATTACCTATTGAAATTAAAATTAAAGATGCTGGATTCATAATAGTTCTTTGCGTTTTCTTTGAAAGGATGGTGGGCTTTTGGTGTGCAAAAAGTCTTGTAAGCTTAAAGCCGAATTCTGAAAGTCACTCACTTCCATTCAACATTTTTGAAAACTGTGAAAGGATAAAATGATAAGAGAGTCATCGACGATGTGGCCACAATCTCTGGGACTCTTTGTAATATTATTGAAACGACTTCCTCTAGTTTTTTATTCAGGATGAGTGGAATCAGACAAGCTGCAAACCGTGTACGCCGAAATCGCAATGTAAACTTACCAACGAATGCTCTCCGTTATTGCCGGAGTCTTGTCCTAAGGATGAAAATTGTGTAGATAGTGAAATTGGAATATATGTTTGCTCAGGAGTCGATGCAAGTTTTAGCTGTTTCATTTTCTCTTCCAACAACTGATCAAACCGGCCTGCGGCTTTCTAATGAGCACGCTACGATAGCTCTGTTCAGGACATTCCCTCATCAAACTTGAAAAATTGCGTTATAGTAGACTTTCATTCATTTAGATACAACCTACCAAGCCGCCTGATCAATGGATTCTATGGCTTGTTATATCAATACTGGTGTCAGCGACGCTGGCGTCATTAAGTATCGTATTATGGGTTTATCGGCATTCGTACGTTTTTTTGGTTATAAATTATTTCATATAAACGATGCTTTCAGCCTTTACAAGTTAATGTTGTGCAAAAAAAGAGACTTGAGGAATATGGAAACACAACAATATTACCGTGAAACAATATCGATATCCAATGTACCGAGGTTTGGCCAAGATTATGGCAATTGTAGAAATTATCCACAGGGAAACCAGGTGTGCTTGGGTCAAACCTGCAAAAAAATTTAGTCGTACTGGCTCACATGTTTTAGAGATATTGTCCTGCCGCTGTCAAAGAAAGCTTTCGAAGCTTCACCCCAAGTACACCATCAAACGGGTTCGACCACAACTCTACGTGTGTTACCTGCTGCAAATTATTGCCTATAACAAATTAAAACATGTTAAGGACAAGACCCAGCGGGTACAATCTCCCACCAAGGATTATTACTAATAGGAGAGAGCTTGATCGTATGGAAGCGCAAGCTAAAGCAGCTAAACACCGTGAAATGGTAAGCGGTTAATAATTTCGAATTTTGATTTCCTGTCGGCTGACTTTCTGACTGATAAATGACAAAATGGCCACGTTCCCCCATCCGTATGTAACAGATAAAACGCAGTTTTGTTGGGCAGATGAAAAGAACTATTACTACAATATTAACTCTATTTTCTAGAGTATAAGATTCTATGTATAAGTCGCACCTGCAGTGCGAATGTTAGCGAAAGATCTGTCTTGGGTTGCGCTCAGGGATGGCCAGAGTTTTACTTACCTTACCTGGAATTGATTGTCGAGTGGGTGCGTCAGAGTTATCAAAATGTCAGTGTTGTTTTAATTTTGGGTAGGGGAACTAACTCTACCAGTTTGAGTCGGCTTCCACTGACAACTGGTCTTTTTGCAATATTGCTGCATGTCAATGCAGGACCAGTAGTCCGTGGAGGCGGTTGAAACTGGCGGAGTTCGTTCCCTTACACTTTGATTTTGAATGGATTCAAGGACGCTAGATAAGCCTTAATGACAAATATAGACGTAAGCGTTTTCAATGATAGCTTCAATTCGGAAGTTCTGAAGGTCTCAGTAGTACTGGTGTTCGTACAGTGCAAGTTTTGTCTTACAGATATTAGCAAAAAACGGAGTATCTATTATACTTTAGAATAACCCATTCACCAAAAAGGAATTTGAGTACGAACGCAAAAGTGTTGCTGAATTAGTGCCTAACTACCAGTTCCGCAAATAAACTCGCGCGGTATATATAATTGCGCCCTATACCCCGGCCACGTTCTAATCGACTATCGCTTGAGCAGTAAAAACAATCTGAGCGCAAGTAGCATGCTAACTTATCCCCCTCCCACACTGTAGCAAGCTCTAGTGCTTTAGATGATGAAAATTGAAGAAACCACGAGCCATAGTCCTTGTGCCTTTAGCTTTCAAATTGTGAAAAATATTAGGTTGGTGCAAAAGAAATGGCCGATTTTCCAAGCCTTTTTTCAGGGCAACTTTTTTCCATCAATACTTCTTTTTTACAATGGGCGTAGTAAATTGTCGCGAAGCTGTTTTCATGCTCTGTCTAAAGGTGCTTAAAACGGGCTCTCATCCTCATCTCTTATAAAGTTACTGAGCTTCAAATAACCGCATCCAAATTCAGAATTTCATTGCATTCACTTTTCCGGCCAGAATTCAAGCGCGTATTAATGGGATTTCTTCGAAAATTTACCTATTGTGTGTAATAGGAATTTTCTACATTATGCATACTTAACTGCATTTTTTGAAGTTATCCAGACTGAGATATCGGCGCCTAAACATGGATAGCGGTTATTTTATGACCCATAATTTTCTTCTGAGGAAGTCAATCGCCGAAGCTTTGCTCAATTCTGTAATCGTAAAGCTAGGACATTTATTAGCAGTTTTTGCAAAAACATCCAGCTATTAAGTGCGCAGAAAATTAGAAAATTCTATAATCCGGACTTTAAGGCACACTGAATAAATGTTGAAAAAACTGAGAAATTTTAATTTTGATTTTTTATTTCTCGCAAACTTTTTTGTCCGTATTCTTTTTACTGTATTTTGTACTACTGGCTTGCGGCTTTAAGATAGGCTACTTATCATTTATACTTAGAAACTCTGAAGGAAGTTATGAATTGTCAAAAACAAGGTACCCGCAGAAGGACCTTTTTTGTCTTTTAATCCGTATTTCTCTTCCCGTTTAAGGTTTGAGTATAAATAATTATGCGCTGTGTTGCGAAAGGTTTGCTGCTTCTCGGGGTATTTACCGCATTCAGAAATGTGGATCTTTTAGAAATTTATAGCACATCAAAGTGAGAATTCGCAAATCGGCCATTCCTTTTGCACCAACCTAATACATGATAAATTTTTTTCAAAAGTGTGGGGTGAGGGAAAACATATTAACCATACCATTGCCATGTTCTAGGCGATTAGCTTACTCATTATTCCAAACTACATCAAACATCGTATCAAAACAGAAATCGGTTTATACAGCAAACTAGACTATGTTGAACCGCCCATTGCGTACAATATATATAGACAATACAGGATAATGATAATACATAATAGTCACACGTAATACAGACACACATCCATACAAACTTCTTCGGATTCTTCGGAGATGTGATAGAGACTTTAGCACAAGTGACCCTAACACATAACTATTCTCTCTAAGGCCTCTGGCAAAGTTTACGCGATTTCGTCGCAATTCAATCACTAAGGCTCCCGCCAGAGTGCCGAAGTTATGCCAGCGCTACGCCAGCATTTCGATCGATACACGTGTATTTCGTTGGGGACATCTACCTGCTGAGCTAGCCCCGCCCCAACGAAGTACACGTGTATCGATCGAAATGCTGGCGTAGCGCTGGCATAACTTCGGCACTCTGGCGGGAGCCTAAGAGACAAATGTTACGAGTTCATTGCATGCCGATCTTCATTTATTTCGGCTGTGATAGTTAGCCACGATTGGTCGTGTTGATAAACTTTCGCAACCAAAAAGATCTTCTTGCATTTCGAGATGCAAGAAGATCGGCATCCAATGATGTTGTTGCAGCCATCTTGTCGCGACCAATCGCGACTATCAAATCGCGTGAGCTTTGCCCGAGGCCTAGCCGTGCAAGCTTTTGAAAACTCTCTACGTACATCCATTTCCAACACCAATTCAGGGTCTCACTTCGTCACACAGCAGATATACTGGCAGCGGTTTTACCGCAGACATTTCGTCCGACTCGCCAGGACCATCAATATCGGCACAAATAGCTGCGTCGAGAATCACACCTTCCGAACCTCGACAGCCTGCTCCCGAATTTCGGCAAAGACTACCCGAATTGATCGAGAATTCAAATAGTATTTCTTTCCATAGCAGTGAATCGTATGATGCAAATCTGCTCGGGGATGTTGATGATGACGTAAGCCATTCGTTCAATTATTTCTGTGCAAAAGTCAATAATAGCAGTTTAGGAGGATTACTTTGCTGATTGAAAAGCGTTTGGAAAGCTACCCCATTTGACGTGTCGCCGGTCCAACCCAATACGTGTATTTCGTTGTGTTTCGTCTATATTTATTAATCATTTGTTATAAGCGTTTCAACAGTTAAATATTAGGTTATCCCAAAAGTAAACTCCTTTTTTGAATAATTCAAGCTGTTTTTATTTCCTTAGCCCATATAGGGTATCATTCGATAGAGCAAACTCTACAAAATGACCGCCAAAGGTCCGCCTGCCCTCCATGTGAAGTATGGAGTCAAAATCGAAGAAAATTCTGTCATTTGCGAAGAAAAGCTCTACGGACCTCCAACTTGGTAATTATACAGTAAGCACGTAGTAATACTCAAATATACGTTTACTACGTTTTTCCGAGCATAGAAAGCGAGAAACAGAAATTGTCCAAAAATGGCAAACTCCGCCCCAGCCCCTTTTACATATGTCATTGTATACTACAAGCCTTACTTAGTATAAACTTAGAGTTTCACCTCCGCATGTGCTCTTATAATCGAGAAATATCAAGTTGTACATAAAAACCTGAAAAAAGTGGCATCTTGGCATTTTGGGACCACCTTCGTTTCTCAATTTTGATCTCCGGAAAAATCCACCAAATACATTTTGGGGTATTACTATGTGTCTACTATATAAAAACCAGGTCGGAAGTCCGTAGAAATTTTCTGAAAGGAGATATGATACTGAGGATAGCTGAAAAATTTTGACTTTTGGCTCCAAATTTTACTGGGGTTATGAATTAGGTGGATCTTTGGTAATCTTTCTGTAGAGCTTGCTCCGTTCTACCGATGATATCCTAAATCTGTCTAAAAATAAAAACAGCTCAAGCTATTTGGAAATGGAGTTTACTTTTGACACAACCTAATACATTGTACACAAAGAAGACCTCATATAGTGTGCCCAGGAACAGTTATCTTATATATAAAGCTGAATGTCTGTTTGTATGTATGTCTGTCTGTCTGTCTGTCTGTCTGTCTGTCTGTCTGTCTGTCTGTCTGTCTGTCTGTCTGTCTGTCTGTCTGTGTATACGTATGTTCCGAATAGAAAATTCCATTTCTGAACCGATCGGGACCAAACTTGGCACACATACACTTCGGGCCCCGGCGGGTGTCACAGTCCAGTTTTCGTTATCGATTGATGTCGATTTTATCGATTTTTTGCAAAATTTGAGCTAGGGGGCTTATTTGAGAAAAAAATTTGAGAAAAAATGATCAGCATGCTCGATTACCCCCCTCTGCCAAATTCCAGCCCCCTAGCTCAAATTTTGCAAAAAATCGATAAAATCGATAAAAGTAATCGATAATCCTGAAAACCAATATTGTATTCGGAATCCCCATGCTCGATTACCCCCCTGTGCCAACTCCCAGCCCCGTAGCTCAAACTTTGCAAAAAAATCGATAAAAGCGACATCGATCGATAACGAAAAGTTGGACTGTGACACCCGCCGGGGCCCGAAGTGTATGTGTGCCAAGTTTGGTCCGGATCGGTTAAGAAATGGAATTTTCTATTCGGAACATACGGCGGAGCCGGGTAAGCCAGCTAATTTGCTTATATGCTTCAAATACGAGCTCTACAGCATTTGGGAACATGAACACAAACCAATATCGTACGCGATGCCATGTGTACTACGCCTTTTCTCATAAAATAAGGAAATCAAAATTGAATTATTACTCGTGTTCAAGTTTCTAATGAGCGAAATCTCATCTATTTGTTATAATAGGTTAGGCGATTAAATCATGAGTAAATTGCAAACATGCTCTCGTTAGCAGTAGAATTTCAGTTTCATTTTGCTCAACGTTTGAGCCCCCAGATCTGTTTAGAATGTGCAATTTGTATTCTTTACAATGTATCTCCACTGCTGTTTAGAATGCGAGTTTGTCCCGAACACGAAGTAACGAGCTGCGCCTTTTATTATGCGTGTAAACCGCATGATTTCTCTCCTCTTTTTCTAAATAAAGCTGTGTCTCGTGATTTTTTTCCAAACTCTGAAAGCCCGCTTCCTCTGGTTTTCCGTGTATAGCTTCGTGCTCTTAAATCTTAGTTCAAACCTTTGTGTTACATGCCTTCCAAGATTAAGAGGCTAAAACTTGATATTCTGCTTTGAAACCAGATAAAGCGGTTGATTTCTCTAGAAAAATATGCGCAGTGATATTATGCACAACTTTTGTCTACAAAAGGTTCAAAACGACTAGATTTCGAAAATCTGAGATGAAAAGAGTTTGATTCAAAGTTGGCTTGTTGCATAGACAAAAGCCACAGAACAGAACCGCAAAACTTGGTCCTGTGCCCAGCTGGACCTAGTATAACCAATGCTTTAGAAGAAGCAGAGGTTATTTTTAAAGGAGATACGAAAACTTCAAAAGATCAGGTTTTAAATTCCAAAATGCAGTGGGTAATTTCGGTTTTTTTCAATACCTTTCTGCAGAGACATCCATAAACCAACTAAACCGAATAACTTGCCATCGGCCATATAGTAAGTAAAGTCGCTCTATCTTAGTACATTCAAAACAATTATGAGCACTCTAAACTCAAAGTAGGCGCCGTGGAAGCGGCTAAGGCTTATAGACATCCGAACGCTAGCTAGATTAACAGATCTACTATTCTACTGAATGCAAGTAAGACAATCGCAATTTTCACAAAGGCGAATGAACACAACAACGGCACAAGATCAATACAGTAGGTGTGGATGACTGGTCGGGTAGGCATCAGCCTGTGGTCGGAGGGGAAGCTCGGGTAGCCAGTCAGTATTTTCCTCCAAGCTCGACTCCTTGAGGCATGGTACGGAAAATTCGGCTTGTGGTTTTGGTGGCGGCTTATATATTACGAGTGCGTCACCTCTGCTTCGTAGAGGTTCGCACTGGCTCTTCTATCCATATGCCAAAACTCATTCCCGCATATCATGGCATTAGAACATACCGCGCAATGCCCGCCTTCGCAAATGATTTGTGAACAATTACTCATTCCGTAAGCTTTTTCGTGTAGAAGATGAAGAACAAATGCAGAATTAGAACTTTGAATATTCTCATGGCTTGGTAGTCGTCATAAGGATAATATCTACGGCGAGCTACATACATGTGCAAAAATCTTCTCAAATGCTCAGGTAAAAACCTGGCAAATTGACCATTTAGCAAATAAATCGTTTTGGCGCCTTTTTCGTGAAATAGTAGACATCTATCACTTTTTTTGGGCTAAAGATCATGGTTTGCGCGTTCACATGTCAAACACAATCACGATTTTGCAATAAGTGGTAATACGGATCCAATATTGCGCACCACTTCTTAAGTGGATCCTTTTGGGGTGCGATTTTTGAGGGACCTGCTCAATGGATCTGCTCGTGCTTTGGCATGGTGAATCTGGATGGTCGTTGTGCAAAAAATTGCGGCTTGAAACCTTGTTTGCGACTCGTTCTGTGAATTTCGTTACACACACACCACACACACACACACCACACACCACACACACACACACACACACACACACACACACACACACACACACACACACACACACACACACACACACACACACACACACACACACACACACACACACACACACACACACACACACACACACACACACACACACACACACACACACACACACACACACACACACACACACACACACACACACACACACACACACACACACACACACACACACACACACACACACACACACACACACACACACGCGTAAACAACCCTTAGCCCGTTATTATAAGTTATGATAAGTCAGGATATTCTCATAGCTTAGTTTACGGTACCATTTCGTCGCGGGCATATTCTTGGCGATGTTTACTTAAACGTTTAGAAATGGTTACCACTCGTTTTCCGGATTCTCTCTGGTCAGTTTTATGTTTCGGATTGTTTATTGGGTAATCCATAACACTCATCAAGTCTGCTTGTGCCGTTCAAACCACGAAACATTCATCAATTTATCTACATTAGGTAAGCGACTGTGTTTTGAAACAGGCGCTTTTATTTTAGCCATGAATGCTATCGCAAGTGCCGGTGCTAAGCATGGTTCCATTGCTAGTCCTTAAATTTTGCTAGTTCTCATATCTGCAATAAGTACCTCCCACGTCATCGAAAAATATTACATTCTGAAACACGCTTTCAATAAACCATGATTTGTAATATGGAAAGTCCGTAAAGGCTAAGGCAATTTCACAGCATATTAGCAGCTCGCTGTCGCTTGCATCGCGGATTCGTTGCTCACGTTTGTGTAGAGAACATTGTCATATGATTCCATGCTGCATTTACTAGAGATCGAAAAAAATCGTATCTTTGTCGAAAAATTTTTGGGGAACTCCCACTTGCATACATCTAAACGTTCGATGTCAGACTCCATATATGCGCAGTTGCTGTATTTTCTCCTTGACTAAGAACTGAGAAAATGATAATTTTCGTGCCATCTTCAAAACATGAATATTCTCAAACAAAAGGATACTGAGCCGTTTCCAATAGGTGATTCTATGCTACAAACTTAGTGAGTGTGACTGTAAATTTTCAACCTATCCCGAGTGGGGTAAAAATCAAATTCAGCTTTCTTCTCCTTAGTTTTAGTGTTAATCTCAACATTTCTCAAAATTACCGCTCCTAACAGGCCGAAAATCTGCAGTCTTACTTACCTGGGCTTGGTAATATAGATTCACAACACCGCTCACATTTTCTGAAAAATAGACGCTAATGTATGGACTTGTATGGACATGTAGCGGCATGTCCATACATGTATGGACATCACCGTCGTGTGGCCATATCTCGCTTCAGAATGGACGAATTCTGAATCCAAAGCCACCATTCGATTCAGCTCGGGGCGGAGAATCTTCTGATTTACTAGTAATGGTGATACGATGTCTTCGATATTCCGTTTTCAGTTTTTTCAAATTCTTCTGCGGAGGTCCGCGAATATGTGAAGTAACGCCTATCCAACTTAGAAGACTTTACCATGTACTTTTCGATGAAATTGTCCTTGTAGATTATTATGCGCTGAAAAATAGACTCAGACTTCTTTCCAAAGGAGATAGAAGCGTTGGTAAATTTTGGAAAGATCACGCGTTTTTAAATTTTACTCGCCATAACTTCCTTCGGAATAAGTAATTTCAAATCCGAAAACAGCGCCTTGCTCAGCTCATCAAGTCGAATCTTTTCGTATACAGTATGTTCTTGATATCGATTTCAGTATTCTTGAATCTTTCTAGGGCATCTTTTCGTAAAGGTGTAAAGCAGCGAGCATTGTTCGGAGTACATTCCAGCAAGGATCTTTCGATAGTACTTTTTCTGTAGATTATGATGTGCTAAACAGTAACCGCAGATTTCTTTTCAAAGGCTCGTAACTCGGCGATTTTTACAGACTGGAGCCTGAGTCATGCACCATTCGATAGCACAATTCCTAGTAATTTTGACCTATAAAAGCAAGCAGGCAAGTTCTCTGACAGATACGCGAAAACTGCGGCCGAAATTACGTACTTTCGTGA